GCGGACGGGCGGCGAGGTGGGGAGCGGCGGCCCGTGGGCCGTGACCGTGAGGGAGGCGGACGCGGTGGGCACGTGGATGGGAGGGGAGCGGGCGGAGGCAGTGGGGAACGGCCGCCGTTGGATGGGTGGGGGCGCGGGTTTGACTGACCGGCCGTCGGGGGTGGAGCCGAATTAAAATCGGAAGGCACGGTTGGCCGGCGCGGCACGTCGCGGTGCGGGACGGATGCCGTGCCCAGGGGGGACTCCATACGTACGGGACGGCTCGGCTGGCCGACGTTCGGTCGGCGTGCGCGCGCTGCGTCTCTTTGGTTTTCGGGCGCCGAAAAGGAGAGAGAAACAGTCCGAGCGAGCGAGCGAGCGACAGAGGCGGGGTGGCGAGTGGCGACGTGGGTTCGCAGACTTCGGGGATGCATGGTCATGGATGGGTGCGTAGAGGTGGGGCCGCCGTGTATTGAGGCGGCGATTTCGGCTCTTCAGCTTCCTCGTATTAGCTTTTCTCTGAAATTAAACTTTATAAATTTTGACCAAATTTATGAAGAAAAATATTAACATATACAATACCAAATCAATTTCACTAGATTCATTATTGAATGTATTTTCACATTATATAGATATTTTATTGTAATTTTTATATTATTTTCTATAAACTTAATCAAACTTTATAAAATAAATTAGTCAAAAGTAATGTGCGGACTAAACAAAACGAAGAGAGTAAAAATGTTTGGACGCCATTAATGTCCACGCGTTCGTTCTGGAGATCCCCCAAACCGAACGAGACGTTCGGCACGAGCGATCGATCCCACCGAACGGTTTCGTTCGATGGAAGAAACCCCACAGCCGGAATGCACACACAAACTGCCCCATACATGCCCTTTCCATGTAAAAAAATGAAAAAGGAAAATAAATCCCAGTATAGACACAAAAGAAAGCCCAAATGTTTACTACATTTGCCATTGTTCATAAAAAACACAAATTGGGCTTATAGTAATCACAGCAAAAAAACAAAAATTTGGCTTTATAGTGAAAATTTGCCACGACAAATTAACTATGTTTGAAATTTGTCATTAGCGCTTAAAATAAAATTTGTTGTGTGTATTACATTAAAATTGCCATGCCAAAATAAAGGTAAATTTGCCATGAGAAAAAAATAAATTTGGCCATGGTTGAAAAGCAATGAAAATTTGCCATGGTCCCAAAAAAGTGAAATTGCCTCAATATTGACCATCCTTTACACTTCTGTCGGGACCCCGATCGTAAGACACACTGATCTAGCATAAGACACATCATATCACTTTGCGGCCTCACGCACGATAGCTCATGGCTGCCGCCTTTACCTTGGTCGGGACCGTTTGCGTCTTTTGGCTCACGTATATGATTGCGATGCTAGTATCCATATGATAGAGAACCCGGGTCGATGTGACTAGTCATAAACCAAGGTGGCCCAAACTTAAAAGGGACAGGCATACATGACCCAGTAATGCATGTGTCGGTCAGCAGCGAGTGTAACCGAGTCGTAGCGAGGCTACAAAGGACTCCAGTAAAAATCGCGTGATATTTCCCCATAGGGACATACTCCCTCCGTTCCAAAATAGATGACTCAACTTTGTACTAACTTTTGTACAAAGTTGAGTCATCTATTTTGGAACGGAGCGAGTACATAGGAGCAAAAAGGATACATGTCGGTCAATCCATGTGTTCAGGATGAAAGCACTAAGAGGCATTTCCCCATAAGGAAGGCTATCAAGAATAAACAACTAGGTGTTGAATCTCACACATACCAAAGCATTTCAATAACATACACACAATATGCTCGATATGTGTAGATACACATGACATCACAACATAAATGTACGACTCAAAGTATTTCTTTAAGACCCAACATACAAGGTAATACAAGCAACGGAAGCATAACATGTCTGAATATAGACACCTATAAAAGGAAAAGACTGATAAGCCTGACTATC